AGGAACCACGAAGGAAGGAAGGAAGGAAGGAAGGAAGGAAGGAAGGAAGGAAGGAGGCTTATTCTGAATCACAAACTGGATCCTGTGTGAGTAGCTGAGAAAGTGGAAAGGCTAAAATTAGGTAGCTGAGTGCATGATTTTCATTCAGGTTCCATTATATATTCAGCAATCCCAATTAGTTCACGTACTGCTCATCCAGGAATGATTCAGAAAGGTTACTGGGTTACATGTAAAACTGAGGTATAATGGTTGGGTTTTAATTAGGACAAGAAAATATCAGTAAATCAAGCAGCACAGAAGTGTCTTGGGATAAGGATCACCTCTTTTTCTTTCTTTTTTGAAATAATTTTTATTTGATTTTACAAGTGTAAAATTATAACAATACCCAATACATATCCATATTTAGAGATTTATCCGAATCTCTAGACTTCCTCCTTCCCCTTCATGGGTCCTATTATCAACCATTTCAGTTGCATATTATTTCCTCATCCAAATTTTATATCTCCCCATTTTCTCCATAATATTTTCTACATTACAAGTGTTATTGCAATCCTGCTAATGTTTTCATCTGCTTACAGTGGTCTCTCAAGTAAATTGTAAATCTTTCCCATTCTTTATTAAAGTTTTAGCCTTCTTGGTTCCTGAGCTTTCCGGTCAGTTTTGCCATTTCTGCATAGTCCAACAACTTGATTTGCCATTCTTCTCTGGTAGGGACTTCTTTCCATCTCTGGGCTAGTAACATCTGTGCGGCTGTCATTGCATACACGAAAAGTCTTTTCTGCTCCTTTGGGATCTCGGTACCTACAATTCCTGATAAATAAAGACTTCTCGAGTCTTTATAAAATATGTAGAAAACTAAACTGAATTTTCTCACGAGAAATTCATGCAGGAAATATTCATTACAGAACAATCAGCTACAGTCCAAACTGCAACATGACAAGGAAGGAGACAGGGATCCTTTTGAGGAGAGACAGCATAGAAATCTAATCAACGATAAAAGTAATACTAATAATTTCCTTAACAGTTCTGACATGCTCCATGGTGTTTCAGGGCAGAGACAAATGTCTAATAGTAGGCAAATACACAGCAAAAGGCACAAACAGAAAAGGATAACGGGAAAAATTGAAAAATCTGTTTCAAAGCACAATGAGGTGTGTCAGGGGGAAAATGGAACTACAAATGCAGAGAAAATGGTTCTGTCTTCAAATGACCCTTTTGAGGGTGAGAACAGCAAAGCACATTGGTTTTAATAGGCTTGCTGCAGTGTGGTGTAGTAGTTAAGAGCGGTAGACTCGTAATCTGGTGAACCAGGTTCGCGTCTCCGCTCTTCCACATGCAGCTGCTGGGTGACCTTGGGCCAGTCACACTTCTTTGAAGACTCTCAGCCCCACTCACCTCACAGAGTGTTTGTTGTGGGGGAGGAAGGGAAAGGAGAATGTTAGCCACTTTGAGACTCCTTCAGGTAGTGATAAAGCGGGATATCAAATCCAAACTCTTCTTCTCTTCTTATGCAGCACATAAAAAGAAAGGCCTTTTAGAAGAAGGGGTGAAAGTCTGACTACCAATAGTCTAACTACCATACAAAGAAGTGTGACTGGTTCTTTGAAACCCAAATATGGATTTGCAGCCATGCCTCCATTAAACGTTATGTGTCAGAAAATAAGATTGTGTAAAAGTATTCATTGTGAACCCCTGGTAAACATGTGCAGCATAAAGACTAGTATGGTTGGTCAATAATATAGCGGGATCAGCCTGTGATGAAGCAATGTAAAACCTTATGCCCAAAGTACCTATGGCCATTGCACAGCTACTGTGAATTCCTTTTCAACATTCATGATTTATGTGACAGGAAGAAAGCTTTAAGTCTAAGAAGCTACATATGCAAGTATGTCTGTGCTGGACGACAGTTGTCGAAAATGAATAATTTAATAATCAGTTTTTGTTGTCAGATGTTCCTTTGTGTTCAATTCAGGCCTGAGTACAATTATGTAGCATTTGGGAAAGAAGATGCAGCCCAGAAGCCCAGCACTGGAGGCCAAGATAGAGAAGATCTGCACGGCCACCATATATTTCCCCTTGGTGCTCAGGTAGGTGGGCACAAAGGACAACCAAACACTACAGAAGACCAGCATGCTGAAGGTGATCAGCTTGGCTTCATTAAAGGCTCCAGGCAGGTTCCTGGCTAGGAAAGCCACCGTGAAGCAGATGGAGGCCAGGAAGCCCATGTAGCCAAGGGCAGTATAAAACATGGCAATAGACCCTACATTGCATTGCAAGGTGATCTCTCCAGCCTGGGAGCTCATGTCAGATTCTGGAAATGGTGGAGAGATTCCCAGCCAGATGGTGCAGATGGCAACTTGGACACTGGAACAGAAAATGACAGTGGAGTTGGCCAGACTCCTCCCCAGCCATCTCCTCATCGTGTTTCCTGGCTTTGTGGCCAGGAAGGCCAGCACCACAGTGACGGTTTTTGCCAATACAGAAGAGACAGCAACTGAAAAGATGGTGTTGAAGGCCATTTGTTGAAGAAGGCAGGCTGCTTTCCATGGCTGGCCAAGGAACATGAAGGAGGACAAAAAGGAAAGCAAGAGGGAGATGAGGAGGATGTAGGAGAGGTCCCTGTTGTTGGCTTTGACTATGGGGGTTTCCTTGTACTTAATGAATGTTCCTAACACAATGCCTGTGGTTAAGGATAACAAGAGGGAAAAGGAAGCTAGGAGGATCCCCAAAGGTTCTTCATAAGCCAGGAAGGTTATAATCTTAAAGACACATTGATCCCTGGGCTTGTTTGGATGTTGATCTTCAGGACACCTGGTGCAATGCTCTGCATCTGGAAAGAACAAGAGTAATATCAAATTTATACCCTTCTGAAATGGTTTTCCCTTGCAGAAAGTAATGCCAAAGTGGCTCCCACAATAAGAAAATATTACTATATCCAATAACAATAACTGCATATGACCAAGGACATCAGGAATCAGTATTAATATTGTAGGTCAGGGAAAACCTGGGGCAGCAAGTATGTCTTAATTTATGGGTGAAAACAATGGCAAGAGCCTTCCACATGCTAGACACAGCAATGTCACAATAACCCTGTCAAAAGGTTCAGGGTGAGAAAAATGTACTGACGAAAGGTCCTCCAGTTGTTCTTGCTTCCGGCTCAACAGATTTATGTCTTTCTTTTTGGAGAGAGAGGTTTGGAAGAGAGATTCTTATCCTCTTGTCGGAGAGTTAAGCACAGTGGTGTTTGTTCCAAGCACATTAAAATTTGGTTTAATTTGCATCTGCCCACATTCACCTGTAAATAAATGTTCCCCACTAGAATGCATAAAAGGTAAAAGGTAAAGGGACCCCTGACCATTAGATCCAGTCGTGACCGACTCTAGGGTTGTGGCGCTCATCTCACTTTACTGGCCGAGGGAGCCGGCATACAACTTCCGGGTCATGTGGCCAGCATGACTAAGCCGCTTCTGGCGAACCAGAGCAGCGCACGGAAATGCCGTTTACCACCGGAGCGGTACCTATTTATATACTTGCACTTTGATGTGCTTTTGAACTGCTAGGTTGGCATTTCTGATCGGCAAGTCCTAGGCTCTGTGGTTTAACCCACAGCGCCACCTGCGTCCCTACTAGAATGCATAGGCTAGAATAAATCACAGATACTTAGCTTTGCTTAGAGTTTCCATAAATAACAGCAAACAAATCTCAATCCGTTGTCAGAAAAATAAAGATTAAAACTACTTGGTACTTGGTTTTCCTTACAAGAAGGATCTTGCAATATGCGTGCTATAAAAATCTCATTTAAGAGAGATTCCGTTCACTTGCAGGAAGGCATGATCACATAGCTCCTTCTTCGCTTGCTCCAGGAAACACGAAAAGAAACAGGCTGAGAAACTGGGAGGAGTGTGGTGTGGCTTGCTTGTGCACATTTTGCATATGAATTTCAATAATCAGTTCTAAAATTTCTCTTTAAAAAGCCACTGATATCAGAATGAAATGTCCTCTTTCCCAAGGTCAGCCCTTTCCACTGGGATCACCCACCTTCCTGAGTGGAGATGGTCCCTTCTGCACAAGGAATGCAGTCATAGCAGCAGAGTGGCTTCCCTTCCTGAACGACTTTGACGAATCCAGGGCTGCAACTTTCCACACACCGGGAAGTAGGTAGGGTCTAAGTAGAAAGATAAGGAGCATTTTATAAAAAAAGTTATAGAAATGGTGAAATGGGAAAAGCTGTGGGAAAGCGATCTTAATTTTACTGCCTCTAGTGGGCTGAAAGAAAACTATATGAAAATGGTATCTAACACCGGTTCAAATGGCTGAAATGTCTAAAAATGCTAATAATCAATGTAAACAAACTGATGGTATTTTTATTCATATCTGGTGGTTTTGTAAGAAAGCAAAAGCTTACCAGGAAATGGTAAATAATGAATTAATTAAGATGACAATAGGGGGAGGGGGAAACAGAAGCCTTTTTGCTAGGTTTGATAGGGCCAGAGATACCGAAAATAAAGAAAAAATTGTTTATGTATGCAACAACTGCAGCAAGTATTGTATTTGCACAGAAGTGGAAGGAAACAGCAATATCCACAAAAGAAGAATGGATTAACAAACTAATGGATTATGCCGAAACAGCAAAACTCACTGCTAGACTAAGTGAGTCTAAGGATAAGGTGTTTGTAGAAGAATGGAAACCCTTTTCGGATTACTTAAGTAAATAATTCTTTTTCAATACGAGATGGATTTAGATCTTAAGCAACAGAAGAACAAGAATATGGTATTTTTAGGTTTATATTTTATACTGTGTATACTGTTAGAAACAAATGGACAGTTCAGAGAGCAGAGATATAAGAATTATCGAGTGATATGGGAACTCAAAGAAAAACAAAAATGGTAACTCGTGATGTTTTTTAATGGACTTTTTAAACAATTTAATAATATATACATATTAAAGGAGCATTCAAAAAATGTGTAACCCCTATGGAAATGACGGAAAGGGTTACGAAGGACCATGAAAGATGATTTCTCCCACCGGGCTGAGCCATTTGGGCCACACAACGGCATCCTGGTCAATGGTGAATTGTAGGTCTGGCAAACCCCGTCTGTTGATACTCCCAAATTTCACTTTAAGGATGGACTTATTGGGAAACTTCAGCCAATTCACGACATTAAAGTCAGCTGCTAATTGCCCATTCTCATCCAAATACACTCCATCCATGGAAGAATTGTAGAACTGGGAGTTTCCCAGGAAAGGGTGGAGCTGGAAGGGAAAAGAAAGAACAGCATTTAAAATGTGGGAAAGGACACTGACTATCCAGCTCTGACCTTTTTGTGCCTTGATCTCCTCTGACTTGGACTGCGTAGAGAATCAAGAAGCTGTGCATCATTTTCAAGCGCTTGCTGCACTGAAACTTGCACCCAATGGGGCTTACTCCCAGGTAAGTAGGTCTAGGCTGCCATCCTGTGCACACTTACCTGTTGGTTTCTGTTTCCCTCACTGAGCAGCTGCTGGTAGTGACAGGACTATGTTTTCATTCCACAGTCCAGATACTGGTGGATTCCCACGGGAAAGGGAGACGGGATGTGACGTATACTGGTTTCCTGTTTCCTTTGTACTGTTGTTTCTTTTTTTGGAGTTGCTCTCTGCTTCTCACAGAGACAAGATGTATATTTGTATGCTCTCTGCATAGCTTAGTAATAAAGCTTAGCAATGTAGCCATACGTTGCGGACTCTGGGTGTTTTATACTCTGCTGGGCTCAAGCCGTATCAGCTCGGAGGACTGGAGCTGAATTTACTAACAATGGGAGTATCCCCCATTGAACTTAATGGGACTTCTGGCTAGCAACACATAGGGTAAAAGGTAAAGGTACCCCTGACCGTTAAATCCAGTTGCGAACGGCTCTGGGGTTGTGCGCTCATCTCGCTCTATAGGCCGAGGGAGCCGGCGTTTGTCCACAGACAGCTTCCGGGTCATGTGGCCAGCATGACTAAGCCGCTTCTGGCAAAACCAGAGCAGCGCACAGAAACGCCGTTTACCTTTCCGCCGGAGTGGTACCTATTTATCTACTTGCACTTTGACGTGCTTTCAAACTGCTAGGTGGACAGGAGCTGGGACCGAACAACGGGAGCTCACCCCGTCACGCGGATTCGAATTGCTGACCTTCCGATCGGCAAGCCCTAGGCTGTAAAAATACTATGTCTTTATTATGTGGTTAGGACAGGCTTCCTTGCCTCTGCATCAGTTGGTTGAAACATAGTTCCAGCACACAGCTCCTACCTGCTCTGTGTGGAAACGGTATGAAACTCTGCTGTTTATGATGTGAAAAAGATTGGTTTGCTGCATATTAATAAGCCAAAACATATAAACACCGTCATAATGAGTACAGGAGCCACTGCGAGATATGCAGGCAGGCATGGGAGTTTCCCCTCCTCTTTGGGAACCCGCGATAAGAATTAACGAGCCTCTGACAGGTTTATAGTCCTCTTTATTTACAACAACACAGAGAGAGCGGCATCAAGCCACCCTCCTTCAGGATCTCAGTTGCCCACTCTGAATTCCCGCCTCTTCTGCAGCAAGAAGCACGCCAGTGCCCTGTTCTCCTGCCCCTGTGCTTCTGTTGAGCCTTAACCCTTTGTCTTGCCAAATGCAAGGTGGTTCTTTTAATGAGATTCAGAAGCAAGACAAACACAAGTGAGTGAAAAGATTAAATATTTTATTCTAAACAGCAAGCATTATATACATTACCAAGCAAGCACTTAGATCTGCCACTGGGAAGCCCTCAAGACGTGGCAAAGGTTGCATGACCCTCCTGCCAGGAGTTCATGCATGAGCTTCTGAGCTATGGCCCCAAACCATCTGATTTATTGATAGCTAGCCTGTATGGCTTGCCCAACTGCCCAGTTGCAGATTATTCAGAAGAAGAAGAAGAAGAAGAAGAAGAAGAAGAAGAAGAAGAAGAAGAAGAGTTTGGATTTGATATCCCGCCTTTCACTCCCTTTAAGGAGTCTCAAAGCGGCTAACATTCTCCTTTCCCTTCCTCCCCCACAACAAACACTCTGTGAGGTGAGTGGGGCTGAGAGACTTCAGAGAAGTGTGACTAGCCCAAGGTCACCCAGCAACTGCATGTGGAGGAGCGGAGACTCAAACCCGGTTCCCCAGATTACAAGACTACCGCTCTTAACCACTACACCACAGCTAGTCCCCTCTTCCAATACCGCACATTCCTCCAAACAATGTCTAACAACAAAGAAGGTCAGAAGGTGCCCTGCATTATCACTTCTTCCTTCCACCAGTTTATACATTAAAAGGCTGTTCTCAGCCATCAAAGAACTTTAACAAGAGATGGAGAAGGGAAATAAACAGAGGCAGGAAGAGAAGACCAAGTTAGATCACTAAACTCCTCAAAATTAGGAATGCCTTCAGGAAAAGGTTGCCCATACACCCTTTCAGACCTTCAAGTACGAGGGGAGGGAGGAAAGTCCCCGCCGCTCTTGAATGAAAAGTCTCCTAAACACTCCCTCCCTCCTGGTTGCCTAGCTACTGACTCAAAGCTATCCAGCTCTTCCCCCAACTGTACAGTCTCTGAATCAGCTGCTGGGAAAGTTGAAGGAAGGAGGGGCAAACTCTCCCCTTCTTCTTCTGTCAGAGGCTGCTCTGTCTGTGTCTACATTCCTTCATCTTCGGAGTCAAAGCAGTCTCTGGCATCCGATTCTGACCAGCCCCTGACAGCCACCAAAACACTCAATACATGCTCCAGAAACACCCAAAGTCCCTTGGACATATGCTAGAGCTAAGTTGAGCTTGGTAGGGGCACCCCAGTCCGGAGGCAGAGTGAGTCTGTGTAATGGCATCTCCCTTGCCCTGCAGAACTCTTGCAGAATGTGTAAGGAGTCTTATTCAAAATTGGCCGCTGGAGGGAAAGGGGTGCTAATCTAGTGGTGGGGGCTGTTTCCAGAGGTGCTGTGTCCTCTGACACTAGTTTAAGTGTTATGTACTAAGCTTGGATCCTAGAACAATAGGCAGGTAGGATCCTAGAATGCAACAACTGATTGGCCTTCAGGAAAAGACCAATCAGGCTCCAGGAGGGAAGCAGAAACAGCCAATCAGATGGGACTCATTGTGTAAATAATGTATATAAAAGCCTGAGGTTTGGGGGAAAATTCAGTCACTGTTTTACAAGCTGCAGTGGTGCAAAAATGTGGTTACAAAGTACGGATCCACATGGATCCTCGGGGTTTTAGCATTGGGTCACCCCAAATTCACCATCAGATCACATGTCTGTGGCCACAGCATGAACCACAAAAATGATACATCCACTGTTTCATTCAGAATATATATTTTTTCTTGTTTTCCTGCTCTAAAAACTAGGTGCTTCTTATGGTCAGGTGCATCTTATGGAACGAACGAAAAATACCTGCCATGGCTGTAGCCTTTGACGTTCCAGGCTGTCTGTCACCCGCCACAGAGATCTGGAGGAATATGCAGCATTTAAGGCACGTGCCAAAGCTTGGACAGTGTTGTAAATCCTGTAGCTGTCTAGAGAGAGGCTTCTTTCCATATCATCTTGGGGCAGCATCTCATGTTTTCCTTTCTCCCTGCATCTTATCCAGCCTTTCACCGACCATGCATGCTTTAAATAGGAACAACTGAAAGCATCCTCCCAAAACTGCTTGATTGCAAAGAAAAGGGATGGAATATCGTTAGATTCTTTCCTTTTATTTGTTTCAGTGTAGAAAGAAAAAATGCCATGGATGTGTTCGTAAGATAAGCCGCTGTACATTAACTCGAAGGAGATGTCCCACATAGCTGTTGTGACCAGGACTTCCCCTGCAGTGGGCTTTATCAAGTTCTCAAATAAATGTTGTAGAATGAAAATTCCATGCAAGGCATGAAGTGTCTCTGCATAATAAACAAACACACGGGCTTGTCTCCACTTTAAGAATTTGCGGAAATTGATCTCGAATCCATGTGTGTTCAGTACCGAGATGGTTTGTGAGATGGCAACACAAATACCACTCCTGATGAGCACAGGAGTCAGGGTCTTCATGAATCTCTCTCCATTTTCAGTGTCGGGGGCAATTAGACCAATGAACGTCCATCTGAAGTGATGGAGCATCTTGACAATCCCTGGGTACTGGGCTTCTTCTTTGGGGACCATTGGGTAGAAAAAAGGGAACTGCCTCTTATCATCCAGAACATGAGAGACAAAAGCATAGCTGACCTGGCAAGAAAATAAACATTATTGGCTAACTTAGTTTTGGATCAAAGCCAAAATATAGCTAACCCTGAATATAGTCGTACCTTGAAAGTCGAACAGTTTAGTTCCCAAACATTTTGGCTCTTGAATGTCACATGACTATTCCAGTTTGTGAACCATTTTTGGAAACCGAATGTCCGATGGGGCTTCCACAGCTTCCGATTGGCTGCAGGAGCTTCCTGCAGCCGATCAGAAGCCGCACTTTGGTTTCCAAACGTTTTGGAAGTCGAAAAGACAAATGCTTTTGCCAGGCTTTCCTTGACACATAAGATAAGGTTCTATTTTTAGCTCTAGGAATTCCCTTAATTCTGGTTTTCTTTTTTATATTGCTTTATGCTACCATTTGACGGTTTTGAGGGGAAAATTTTTTAATGAGATAAGTCAAAACACTCATCAGTCTCCAGAGCTTGTGTTACTAAATCTAAATTTAAATGAGACTTGGTGGATAAACCACTAATTGGATTCTTTTAGTGGCAGCAAGTACAGTTATAACTGCACTCTGGCATACTGCCCTTATGGAAAAAATTGACACACAAATTGAGTCCGGCAAGACGAACAAAGCACAACCACACTTTTGCTGAAGAATAGCGGAGGTTTATTTTGTTCACAAATGCTCCAGAAAACCAAAGAGCAATTCCAAACCTTTATACAGATTTGTGGATCACATAATAAAAATGAGTTTTACAGATGGATAGTGTTATAAGCCATGTTTTATGTACGAGAATACAGGCATAATGTCCCTGGGAAAAACACATTTGAGTTTGTTGGGTGTGGATTACCTTTGTTTCTGGAATATATATGCAATGATTTGGAAAATAAAAGATACTGTTATTTGTTCTAAAGACTGTGTTTTTGTGGTACACTAAGAGTGTTTGAAAATATTAAGAGGGTTATTTTTTTAATAATAATAATAATAACAATAATAATAATAATAATACTTCAGGGTTCACTTGAGGGCAACTTCTATTTGCCCCAGAATTTAGTGTCATAGCAACCCATACTACAGACATTACTTCTGTTCCCCTTTACTCGCACACACAAACACACACACACCATTTGACACAAAGAGAAGGAAGGACAGGTGTTTTCAAAGAGAGCACAGCAAACCATCTGACTGTGGGATATGAAGCTGTCAGTCAAGTCCAACATTCTGAGAGGACTAACTGCCTCTATGTGGCAGTTTGTCTGTTGGTCGGTTGCTGCAAGGAGTGTTAACTGGTAACTGCTCGGATGCAGTCTTCTCATGACTCACTACTATCTAGTATATAGTTTATCTGTTAAGTAACTACAGCCTGCCTTCAGTAACAACTCTGTAAACTGAATGAAACTGGAAGTAGTTTATGTTAATATGATTCAGATTCATGTGTTTTGTTTAGAGGGACAGAAGGGATTATCAGCCAGGAATGTATAAATATTGATAGGACTCAAACGAGTTAGCAATCCACTAGTCGCTGCATAAACTCAAACAGGGAATCATTTAAACTCTGCTAAATTAGATAAACGTTCCAACACTGACCACTCCTGAACGTCTGTTGCTTTGCCTGAAAGGACAGTCCTATTGGTTATTGACCCTTATTGCTCATGTATCCCTTTTTTAGTCATTACACTGGTACCTCGGGTTACAGACGCTTCAGGTTACAGACTCCGCTAACCCAGAAATAGTACCTTGGGTTAAGAACTTTGCTTCAGGATGAGAACGGAAATCGTGTGGCAGCAGTCGGAGGCCCCATTAGCTAAAGTGGTGCTTCAGGTTAAGAACAGTTTCAGGTTAAGAACAGACCTCTGGAACAAATTAAGTTGTTAACCCGAGGTACCACTGTACATTAAAAAGAAAGAGAGACTTAAGGCTGCAATCCCAAATGCACTTTCCACTATCTCCTCATGGGCTCTTCCCCTGCCAGACCTTGCCAGCTCAGTACCCATTTATGCTCATGGAGCTGAAATGGCATGGATTGACCAGGAACGAGACCTTGGGGTTATAGTGGATGCCTCCTGTTACCCTAGTATGCGGCAAACTGGCAAATTCGATGCTATGGATTCTTAGGAAAGGGTATATAAAAGGGTATATTAAAAAAACCTGCCAACATCTGTCTTCTTTTAAAAATAAATTAAGATTAATAACAAGTTGTCTTCATTCACACTTAACATCTACCCCACCCTCTTTTGGCTTTCTCCAAAATTTGGCTCAGCCACAAAATGCCACACCCCTCTCCATTCCTACCTGTGGGATTTTATAGATGCCCAACATTCTTGAAATCTGGATGGAGTTCTGAGTGTCAGCCCCTTCGAGAACAGCAAGCAGGTTATTCTGTCCCCCGCAGTTGTAGTTTGGAACGTTCGCCTGCCTAGCAGACAGCAGGTCTACCAGAGCTCCGCATGTCACCCTTCCATGAAAGAAGTTCTCGTGGATGTTGTAGCCCAGAGTGATGTTGGGCAAGAGCCTGGGATTCTGGTTGATATCCTGAATGGCAAATAAGGAGGAAAGGGGTTGCCAGTACTGTGTGAATGTTTTTCTGCAAAAATGTACATATTGCAACATCATCACCATCATCATCATCATCCAGTATTCATTTGAATATGTCAGATTCAACTCAACATGTTTGGGCAAGCTTCTACAGATAATATAAAGTTCTCTATTCCGTTTCTTATACTACCCCTGATCCAGAAGCTCAGCAGCCAATCCTCTCCTAATGATGTGTTACATGATGGCTACTGATTGATGGGGACGCGGGTGGCGCTGTGGGTTAAACCACAGAGCCTATGGCTTGCCGATCGGAAGGTCAGCGGTTCGAATCCCCGCGACGGGGTGAACTCCCGTTGCTCGGTACCTGCTCCTGCCAACCTAGCAGTTCGAAAACACGCCAAAGTGCAAGTAGATAAATAGGTACCGCTCCGGCGGGAAGGTAAACGGCATTTCCGTGTGCTGCTCTGGTTCGCCAGAAGCGGCTTAGTCATGCTGGCCACATGACCTGGAAGCTGTACGCCAGCTCCCTCAGCCTATAGAGCGAGATGAGCGCCGCAACCCCAGAGTCGGTCACGACTGGACCTAATGGTCAGGGGTCCCTTTACCTTTACTGATACATGAACAAGGCGAGATATTTCCAGTCAACATTTTCCTTTTGAAAACAAACATTTTAAAGCTTAACTGAATGACTGGCAACATTTACTGTTATTTCCCTAGTCTCCTGAAAATGGAGATGGCTTCATTTGAGGCACAGTGCTCTGTGCTCTTGATGTGCTCTGGATGTCCTCTGAGATTTTAGTCCACTTTTTCTTAGGGTTCACATTGTACCACAGTAAGGGGAAGAGAAATCCAGGAGTGCAGCCAAGTTTTGTTTCCTTGGAAGGAGGATCCTGGAAGCCTGTGACATTTTGTGATGTGTGGTTTATTTACACATCTATACAGGCTGAAGCTAAATAGAAGCTTGACAGCATAAAAACTCCCAACTGATTCTGCTTCCTCATTCAGTTTTGAAGGGAAAGCTTTCGGGATCTTCAGCACTTCCCAGAAACCCAGAAACTCGTTTATGCTTCCCTCAAACTATCTCCAAAACCAAAACTTTCCACTTAATTTCAAAAACAATTATGAGTGTGTGTGTGTGTGTGTGTGTGAGAGAGAGAGAGAGAGAGAGAGAGAGAGAGAGAGAGAGAATAAGGCCTCATTCCCCTTTCACAAGAGCCCTCCATGGAGAAATCACTCCTTAGCAAAAGCAACGTAGCTGGGCCGCTGGGCCAGAGCCAAAAAGCTTATGTTTCTGTAGTTTCCCCATTTAAATGGTTTTATATTATTACTTTGCAGTGCCATAAGATTTAAAAGATTTTGGGGGGCTTCTCCAAGCCTGTAGTTTTGTATCTGCAAGATGAGAGGCTGTGTTACAAGACAGGACTGAAGTGGCCGAACCAGTCTCTGAGAAATTAGTGGCCCTAACCCAGGTTGTTAAGCATCCTTTTTACATGTCTAAAGAGTTGGTCACATGCAGGTGGGTTGCCAAAGAAACAACCAGATAGCGATGCCTGCAGAAGGAGGGGGTAGCCCCATCGCTTGGCTGGAGAGCATGTCATCCTAGGGGTAGGGGAACACTGGGCAAGGGCCATAATCCTGCTTCCAGGAGAAAGAAATACTGACAGGAATGTGAACTTGAAAGTGCAACGCTTTCTGCAATGTTATATAAGGTAAACAGCTGAGTAGGAATGCTCAATAAACAGCGGGTGTCATATGCCTCCCCTACAACCATTGTGGAAACAAATCAGAAGGAATGCTTAATAAAAAGTTAATCTGACGTGACATAGAACTGTTTCCTTCTTCGAAAAATTATGAAGTTTGCTGAAGTTCACAGTGGATCAGGTCTTACTTTCCTAAAGAAAAACTGCAACTGATTCCCCCATACCCACCACTCCCCTTCACCCATGTGTGATCTCAATTTTTTGATTGTGTTGTTATAATTTGAATGTGAAATATTATTTATTTGAAATATTATTTATAATATAAAAGTTTTAATACAAAATTTCTGTGATGTATTTGTATACAGCAAAGAGAAGTTTAGAGTAATTAGGTATATTTTGATTTAGTTAATCATGTAACAGGTTTATGTTAGGAAACGAATATGGATGCTGAATTTGATGTTTGTAATTTTTCTCTTTTTTTGGTTTTGGAAATGAAAAAAGAAAAACTGCAACTGATTTACTGATTTAAAAGGCAGATGTGGGGTGAATAAGATGTGGGGAGCAGCAAGCGGGGTTTGCCCTGGCCTTTCCCACTTGCAGAACTTAAAAGAACCTCTTTAGCCACAGGAGTCTTTCTCAAAGTCTCTAAAAAGCTGAGTATGTAGAAGCTACTCTGCTTCACAGCTGAAAGGGAATCCTTGCCAACTTTCTGAAAGGCAGGCTATTATGCAGTCAGTGGTGCCTTAGCACTGGTGCACCCAAAAAATCTCTCTCCAAAAACAAAATGGGGTTTAGTAGAAGCAGGAAAGAGCCTGTCGATTGGGAGCAATTGGAGCTCTTGAAATTAGTTGCGAGTGGAGCAGCAGTAAGCCCACCCCCATAAAATGACATACCGGAAAAAGCTGGTAGAGGGAGAGACGTTGAAGTGCTGTGGATTAAATAAAGCTCTTGTGGCAGAGATGACCCCACTAATGAGGTGGTCTCCTGGCCTGTGATAATTGAATGGGCCTATCTGATCTCCCTCCAGAGTCAAGGAGCATTTTGCCTTCGTCCCACAGTCTGCATAAGGCAGGAGGAGGAGGAGAATGAAAACAAGAAGCATTCTGTCTGCCTGAAACAGCTCCCTCCCTCGCAACTGCTCCTCTCAATGAGAAAATCATTAGATGAAGCCAAACCCTTTTTGCAAAGTCCAGTGGCTTTCCTTACGTTGGGTGGAGCCCAACCCAGACTCCACATCTGAAGGGGATGGAAGTCAACCTCACTGTCTCATAATAAAACTCACCTGCCCTAAAACTGAAGCCAAGCTCTCAGGGGTACAGAAAGCATTTATGGGCTGGTCCTTTCCAGCTCAGATGAAAGAGATTGCGTCATGTCGTTCTCAATAATGATGTTTATTTTAGTGGATTCAGAGGTGAGCTTTGGACAAAGCTCTGGAGCTTTATTGAGAAGCAGGTGCCGAAGGGAAGGGAATCACCATTATCTTGATAATTATAAGAAGCATTGCCTCTGCAACAATGTGAACTCTTTCCATGTGCAGGTGCAGGACTGGAGAAAAACATATTCACAAAAACTCCCATATCTGGCTGTAGACTTTGAGATGGAGGCAGCTGACCATGTCTAACCTCGCTGGGGGGGGAGGTGGATTCACAGGCATCTGGATCAAGATTTGCTTTTAAGACAAGCAGTAGGGACCTTTGGCCCACAAGCCAATTTAGGCCAATTTGAGCCAGTGTGGTGTAGTGGTTAAGAGCGGTAGACTTGTAATCTGGTGAACTGGGTTCGCTTCCCCGCTCCTCCACATGCAGCTGCTGGGTGACCTTGGGCTAGTCACACTTCTCTGAAGTCTCTCAGCCCCACTCACCTCACAGAGTGTTTGTTGTGGGGGAGGAAGGGAAAGGAGAATGTTAGTCGCTTTGAGACTCCTTCGGGTAGTGATAAAGCGGGATATCAAATCCAAACTCTTCTTCTTCTTAGGACTGCCAGACCATCCCCATTTGACCCAAAAGGCTACTTTGGCTACCTTCCCAACACAGAGTGTATCTTTTTCCTGGGGTTCCCCTGCAGAGCAGAGGTGGAGATGAGGGTCATTTCTATTCAGTATATCTCCTGCGTAGACATACCTAGGCTCAGATAACCTCACTCCCATACTCTCCCTCGTGTAGAGCAACTCTCTGTTGGAATACGCCGGGGGGGGGGTCCACGCAGCCCGTGAGATGAGACAAACCTCTCCGGGTGTCTTCCTGAAGTTGTGCAGCTCCAGGACGTCCATAAATCATCAGTCTCGGCACGCTCCAGCAACACATGGCAGATACCTATGTGCACGCACACTCAGCAGAGATCAGCAGAAACAAAGTGGAGATTTGTTTTATTAAGCAGTATATACAGGGACGCGGGCAGCGCTGTGGGTTAAACCACAGAGCCTAGGGCCTGCCGATCAGAAGGTTGGCGGTTCGAATCCCCATGATGAGGTGAGCTCCCGTTACTCAGTCCCTGCTCCTGCCAACCTAGCAGTTCAAAAGCACATCAAATGCAAGTAGATAAATAGGTACCGCTCCGGCGGGAAGGTAAACGGCGTTTCTGTGCGCTGCTCTGGTTCACCAGAAGCGGCTTAGTCATGCTGGCCACATGACCCAGAAGCTGTACTCCAGCTCCCTCAGCCAATAAAGGGAGATGAGCACCACAACCCCAGAGTCGTCCGCGACTGGACCTAATGGAGGGCAACCAAAATGGTCAAAGGCCTGGAAACGATGCCTTATGAGGAACGGCTAAGGGAGCTGGGCATGTTTAGCCTGGAGAAGAGGAGGTTAAGGGGTGATATGATAGCCATGTTCAAATATATAAAAGGATGTCACATAGAGGAGAGAGAAAGGTTGTTTTCTGCTGCTCCAGAGAAGCGGACATGGAGCAATGGATCCAAACTACAAGAAAGAAGATTCCACCTAAACATTAGGAAGAACTTCCTGACAGTAAGAGCTGTTTGACAGTGGAATTTGCTGCCAAGGAGTGTGGTGGAGTCTCCTTCTTTGGAGGTCTTTAAGCAGAGGCTTGACAACCATATGTCAGGAGTGCTCTGATGGTGTTTCCTGCTTGGCAGGGGGTTGGACTCGATGGCCCTTGTGGTCTCTTCCAACTCTATGATTCTATGATTCTAATGGTCAGGAGTCCCTTTACCTTTATATACAGGACAAAGCGGTCATGGAGTTCTCTCACTTCAGCTCCGAGAAAGAACAGAAAGTAAAAAGTACAAAACCACAACAGAGCGGAAGAGATAAGGCTAGCTTCCGTTCTCAGGCTTTCCGAGATTAGAAAGTAAACACAGACATGTGATGTAACAATTACACATCCAGCAACGGAGGAGTGAAGTGCCAACACTCTCCTCTGTCAAGTGCAAGGCACTCTCTTTTTGAAGTTTAAATAACAAATAACTTTTACTCAGCATACTTGCACTTGTTAGATTAAGTGTACAAGGCAGACTTATGCTGCTAATACATATTACATAGATTTGAATCTAGGACAAAAGCTGCTACAGACTGACTAACTCTGAGGCAGAACGCAGCACAACAGAACAGGCCTAGTGTTCAGATGCTCTAACATGGAGGCTTTCAACCTTTTTGGGTCCATGGTTCCCTTGACCAACTACATTCTTTCTGTGGCACCCCTGTTGGGGCTCAGGAGCCCAGTTGTGTCACCCTTTACATGCAGAGTTGGGAGCGTCTCACCCTTTTTTGAACACTGTCCCTTGTAAGGTGTTCCCTCAGCCTCCTCTCCTTGAGAGTCCTCCGGGCGCTGCCCCTGGTCTCTGAGCTGCCCCAAAGACAGGTACCTCCTCGCACTGCTCCACAGGGGCCTGGAACTTGTCTGTCCATTCCCAAGAGCAGGGGCTGGCAGACTGGCTGGCTGGACTCCCTCACCCCCTTGCTTGCTTACTCCGAGGCCACCTCAGCTCCTGGCACCCAGCACCCCCTGGCCAGCCCCAGAGGCACCATTCGCCAGCGGAGCTTGTAGCCATGGCTGCTGCAACGAACAGTTGTGCAAGCCTGTGGGGAGGCAGAGACGCAAGAGGGCATCAGAGGAGGGAGAGAAGGAAAGAGGGACAGAGGCCAGGGTTGCCTGCGGCACCCATGACCATCATTCAAGGCACCACAGGGTTCCACAGCACACTGGTTGAAAACCACTGCTCTAACACAGAAGAAGAAGAAGAAGAAGGAGAAGAAGAAGAAGAAGAAGAAGAAGAAGAAGAAGAAGAAGAAGAAGAAGAAGAGGAGGAGGAGTTTGGATTTGATATCCCGCTTTATCGCTACCCGAAGGAGTCTCAAAGCTGCTAACATTCTCCTTTGCCTTCCTCCCCCACAACAAACACTCTGTGAGGTGAGTGGGGCTGAGAGACTTCAGAGAAGTGTTACTGGCCCAAGGTCACCCAGCAGCTGCATGTGGAGGAGCGGAGACGCGAACCCGGTTCCCCAGATTACGAGACTACCGCTCTTAACCACTACACTACACTGGCTGTGCAGTTCATAACTTCCATAACTGTACCAACTGACATAACTGCCTCTGGCAGAAGGTGTGTGGCATCACAGAATTATATATTGGAATTCTATAGCCCATAGAAACCAACACCTAGGGGCTGAGGTCTCTTCAGCCCCCAATAAAATATTTGGGGGGGCCTGGGCTCCCCAAAATTAATGGGCATTGCCATTCAAATGGTGTGTGTGTGTGTGTGTGTGTGATATAATATGATCAGTTATGTGGGGTGGGGCTTCCCTGGGCCTCTCCAATATTTTATTCAAGTTTGCATCCCTGCTATAGCCCTTGAGAGTATTAACCCTTTACTTAGCATTTAGCATTTTGGATGAGATAGATAGATAGATAGATAGATGATAGATAGATAGATAGATAGATGATAGATAGATGATAGATAGATAGATAGATAGATAGATAGATAGATAGATAGATAAATAGATAGATAGATGATAGATAGATAGATAGATAATAGATAGATATAGATAGATAGATGATAGATAGATAGATAGATAGATAGATAGATAGATAGATAGATAGATATGATAGATAGATAGATAGATAGATAGATAGATAGATAGATAGATAGATGATAGATAGAAGATAGAATTAAATTTTCTGTTTCACATTTTAAAGTACTCATTTTTACATCCTTAAGATATTAATGACTTCCCTTCTTCTCTTTCAATGGTTTATTTTACATATCATAAATCCCTGCATATTTTACAGAAACTATACCAATCTCTGCCAAGAAAACTCCATGGACAAAGACAACAGGCATATAAAAGTTATAACGCTGGAAGCTCAAATACTTTGGCCACCTCATGAGAAGAGAAGACTCCCTGGAAAAGACCCTGATGTTGGGAAAGATGGAGGGCACAAGGAGAAGGGGACGACAGAGGACGAGATGGTTGGATAGTGTTCTCGAAGCTACCAGCATGAGTTTGACCAAACTGTGGGAGGCAGTGGAAGACAGAAGTGCCTGGCGTGCTCTGGTCCAGGGGGTCACGAAGAGTCGGACACGACTAAACGACTAAACAACAACATACCAATCGGTTTTTCATTATTGCATCCATCATAACTTGTTTACACTGTTGAATTTATCTTAATGCTGCCAGTGTTTTCAGCTGTACACAGTTATTTCCCATATATTCAATAAACGTTTCCCCATCTTCTCTAAACGTACGTTCTTCTTGTTCTCTTATTCTATATGTTAAGCCTGCAAGCTGCACATATTCTGCAGGCTTAAGTTGCCATTCTTCTTTGGTTGGACATTTTGGATGCTTTCATCCCACGTATAAGGCTGGCATGACCTTTAATAACATTAACTTGGGCCTGCTCCCCATGCTGCTCTTAAATGGTATAGTGATGCATTGCATCAGCAGGTTGGCTCTTCTAGCCAGGTAGGGCATAACTTATGTTATGTTAAGTGCTGGGCAGGAATTAAGAGACATGGCGATGTGGAGCAAATTAAAAATTTCATTTTGGGGCCGTATATCTGTGGTTAAATTAAACATTTTGCCAAAGATGCTTTTCTTGTTTCAGACTATACCGGTTATTGGAAACACAGGCTGCATTGACAGCTGGCAGAAAGAAATATCTAAATTCATTTGGTCAGGGAGAAGACCAAGAATAAAACATAAGGTCTTAATAGATATTAAGGAAAGGGGAGGCTTTGGTCTCCCCGATTTAAAATTATACTATGAGGCTGCCTGCTTCTCGTGGATGAGGGACTGGTACCTTCTAAGCAATACAGATGTACTAGATACAGAATATACAACGGGATAGACAGGAAGTCCAAAGTGTTGGTACATATATGATCTTGGAATAGTTTTTTGTCCTTGTTTTTTTTTTCTTTAGGTATATAAACTTTGTATATAAACTTTGTATACATGCTGAAAATTATATTATAATAAGCCTTGTGATGTAATATGATAATGTTTACCGATGTAACATAAGAATGTTAATAAATAAATAAAACTCCCAAAAAAAAGCAATGGTTGAGCGACCCGGCATGGACAATAATAGAAGCGTAATAACTCCTCACTCCTCAAATCTTCGTAAAGAGTGCAACCCAGAAGCACATGAGCCACTGACTCAATACTGCCATCTCCACATGGACATAACCGTTTTTTCCAGTGGAATTTATTGGATTTCCATAGGTATCGGAATGCCCACTGTGGGTAGCCAGCTACTGGACTGCATTGGCCTTTGGACTAAGCCAGTCATAGGATATTTCTTAAGTTCATGTCAAGCAAAGTTCAGGCAATACTAACTGCCCCTCCCGACTGAAGAACTTTGGAGCTGCCTCTGTGATTTCTCACAAACATGTTTTTCTCCAGCTTTTCACTTGCCCCTCGAGTCATGCAAAGACTACAGGAAGCTGCAGAGGTGACTTTTAATCCCTTTATAATTATCAAAACCAGGGTGAATTATCAAAATCCCTCACCAAAGCTCAAAAGGTATTTTTTGGCAATTACCTAAACATCAGAATCAAGGTCAGCATGAGATTATTGGTTACACTTGTGCACAGAATATATCCCATATCAGAAACAGATTTATACCAAGAGTTCGGGCAGGTAAAAGATTGGGGGGGATACCTGCTTGACATTTAATGCCTCTGAAATCATAGCTGAACACCACCCACGTTGATAAAGTCACTGCAGCTTTGATCATACAAGAGTTTTTCGTTTCTTCTGATAAACTGGCACTGAAGAAGAGAGGAGATCAGGAGGCCAAACCAGAATGACCTCCCTGCTACTTCTGTTGCTGCTTCTGCTGCTAATACCCCATCGAGTCTGTGGACAAAGTGCCCTGAAGACAAAATGCCCCTTGAATATGATCAGGGAAGAAAATGAAGCCCTCAATTACTACCGGCCTGGATACTTCCTCATTAGTGGGATCGTATCACCTCAAAACTTTATTAAGCAACAGCCATACATCTTTTCCCAGTCCCCCTTATCCAAGTTTGATGGGTAAGTAATTCTTGGTTTCACTTGCAAAGGGAAGACTCAAAGAAAGGGCACAAGAGGTCCTTCTGATCTCCTTTGGTTTCTTTCACTGAAGGTCTGTACTGCCCATAACTAGATTTTGATTTACAGCAAAATACTAAATTTGTCTACTGAAAAGTAAGTCCCATTGATTCAATAGTGTTTCCTGTTAGCTAAATGGGGTTGCAGCCTTTTCACCCTTCCAGCGTGAAGACTGAGCTCTGCTTTTCCACAAAGTGACATTTCTGCAGCCCTGACAACCGAAGTAACTGCATTATTTCATATTCAAATTTTGTACTTTGAACTGCAGTGGAACAGACATCTCCCCATTGTTATTCTATAACGGACACCCAGATTATTATTTGGGGTTCAAACAGTGTTTGTTTTTAATAAATGGTGCAAAACATTTTGACGCTTCTTAATTGTTTGCTATTTTGCAGCTTGTCATCTGTGTACTACTGGCACATTTTGTCCTTCTTGTTCACAGTCCAGGAAATCAACCAGGACCCCAGGCTCTTACCCAACATCACCTTGGGCTATAACCTCTACGAAAACTATTTCGACGCACGGAGGACTTCCCATGCCATGCTCGAACTGCTTGCAGGCGGAGAAAGCAATATTCCAAACTACAAATGTGGGAAACAGAATAAACTCCTGGCAATCCTTGAAGGAAGCAATTCTATAATCTCGATAGAGATTTCAACCATGTCAGGCATCTACAAAATCCCACAGGTATGAAGGTGGAGTATGGGTGGGCAGAGGAGAACTTCAGCTGCATAAAATTCCAGTTTTTCTCCCAAGGAGTGAAAGGCATCAGAAAGTATGAAAATCCGGAGGCTTTCTTCAGTTCCCAGCCTCCATCAACCTAGCACCCTCCAGATGGTTCGAATTAAAACTCCTAGCATCACCAGCCAACACAGTTAATTAGTAATCATTTTGGTTAATAAATATTGTTATTGACTGAGGGGTGTAAACCCTATAAATTAATAAATGCTAGGATTTTGATTATTTGGGATGTGAAGGGAGAAATACAAGCTGCAGAGGATTTTCTGGACTAGCCTATGCAAAACAAGCTGACTAAGCTAGGGACGCGGGTGGCGCTGTGGTCTAAACCACTGAGCCTAGGGCTTGCTGATCAGAAGGTTGGCGGTTTGAATCCCCACGACAGGGTGAGCTCCTGTTGTTCAGTCCCAGCTCCTGCCCACTTAGCAGTTCAAAAGCATGTCAAAATGCAAGTAGATCCCTCTGGGATCCATCTTAGATTTCTCTTCTTTATTCATTTTATGTACAATCTTTACAACAGAAGACTTCACATCCAAGATAAAACAGTATATAACAAAACCTTGAGCCTCATATTTTTGTTTGTACTGATTCTTCTCATATTCCCTTATTTTACTATTCCTTAATATTTGTCTTCTTCTTTTGGTTCCTTATCCTTAATCTCTTAATCTCCCATATATATCTTTAACAATTTTTCAATTAATGCCCTCACCTCCCTCCCCCTAAACCCGTTGCTTCCCTTCACCCATGTGCGATCTTCTTTACATACTGTTGTTGTTTTTTGTTGTGTTAACAGCCGTTTATATTTGTTGTTCCATATTTATTTTAATATCATCCTATAACCTTGTGCCCTTTAAGCTGTTGCATACTAATTTTAGGCTCCGAAGCCAACTCTTTTCATGTAATCCTTTACGCATTCCCACTCTTTATAAAAAAAAATTATTAGAACAGCCTCTGATTGATGCTGTTAACTTTGCCATCTCCACAAATTCACAAATTTTAGCTCGCCATTCTAGTAATTCTGGAATTTTGGTCTGGGATCCATCTTTGGGCAGGCTGACCACAGAGCTGTGGACCGCAGAGCTGCCTGGGAAAGATGCCTTGGGCCCTCTTGAAATGTAATGCTGTAAGATCTGGACTCGCTCCATGCAGACTGAAGGTGTAAATAGGTGAATGAACCATATTTCTTAAAGCTACGACAGTCTCTGCCATGTCTTAATTGTCTGAAGGAGCTCAGACCCGGGGTGAGTGCCTGGAACCCCATGGGCTCTTGCTACTGGCCAGCAGAGACAGGGGGAGGCACCCAACTTTTGTAACAATTTGATTGATTGATTGATTGATTGATTGATTGAATTTATATACCACCCTATATAAGACTCAGGGCAGTTCACAGAATAAAATCAAGATGTATAACCACAAAATACCTAATAAAAATAAAAACAACAGTCCAATAGTCTGCCCCCCCTGACAAAAAAAACACACATTTTAAAAGGGCATAGGATGTAACTAGGATCAACCAAAGGCCTGGTTAAAAAGGAACGTTTTTGCCTAGCACCTAAAGGTGTACAATGAAGGCACCAGGCAGACTTCCCTGGGGAGGGCATTCCACAGATGGGGAGCCACTGCAGAGAAGGTCCTGTTCTCGTGTTGCCACCCTCCGAACCTCTTGAGGAAGAGGCACACAAACAAGGGCCTCAGAAGATGATTTCATGGTCCGGGTAAGTTCAGATGGAAAGAGGTAGTCCTTGACGTATTGCGGTCTATCCCTTAGCCTGAAAGCAAAACATTAATTCTTACTTTCCTCACCAGATCAGTTATGGCTCTGTTGCTCATCTTCTTGATGATAAAACCCAGTTCCCTTTTGTACACCGGATTGTCCCCAAAGAAGAAAATCAATATCTGGGGGTTGTGAAGTTGCTCCTGCATTTTGGATGGACGTGGATTGGTCTCATTGCTCCAGACAATGAGAATGGCGAAAGGTTCTTGAGAGACTTCACAGCTCTTACGACCAGTAATGGAATTTGCATTGCCTTATCAAAAAGAGTACATGAAAATAATCCACTTCAAATCCTCGGCCAAAGTGAACCATTTGCCATATGGAGACAATTCACTGTAATGGTTTACTACGAAACCACCCAAATGGGATGGATGCCAGTTAAGGCACTACAAGGAAAACTGGAGAAAGAAATTGGGGCCAAAGTCTGGATCACTGCAGGTTCTCAGGACATCAACTTCAATTTGTCTTTCGATCTTGATTTCTTCCAGTACATCCATGGTTCTTTGTCCTTTTTAATGAAACCCCCACAAAGGACCAAACATAACTGCTATAAGCCATGTTCCTATCTCCTTGGGCAGTTTTGGCAGAATGCATACCATTGCTCATATTCAAAGCACGCGCTGGCCAAAAAAGG